CAACAACAACAAAAAACATTTAGCATAGTACCTGGCACACTAAGCATCCCCACAAATTTTAGTCGTTGTTATTAAACAGGTGAGATTCAGAGTCACAGAGTATGTTTCCCCCATTTATTTTGGAATCCATCTCAGGTATCATTCCATCCATAAACAATTTAGTCCCTTTCTCTAAAAGCCGACATTCTTTTCTTTTACTACCTTTCTCTAAAAGACAGGCATTCTTTTCTTTTCTTCCTTTCTTTCTCTTGAGATAGGGTCTTGCTCTGTTGTCCAGGCTGGAGTGCCATGGTGTATTCAGAGCTCACTGCAGCCTCGAACTCCTGGGCTCAAGTGATCCTCCTGCCTCAGCTTCCCAAGTATCTGGGACTATAGGTGCACACTACTATTCCCAGCTAATTAAAGTATTTTGTTTTTTGTAGAGATGGGGTCTCACTATGTTACCCAAGCTGGTCTTGTCTAGGCTCAAGTGATCCTTCCACCTCAGCCTCCCAAAGTGCTAGGATTACAGACACAAGTTACTGTGCCCAGCCCCTAGAGTATAAATGAGGCCACTTAGGGAAGGTATGGAGAGTGAGAAGCTAGTTAAAGTGGAGGGTAAAAAGAAAGCCAAGTAGTGGCCCAGGGCTGGGGGCCGCAACATGTAGGGGCTGGCAATGTCAGATGATCCACATGAGCCAGGAAAGTCAGATAAGAGCGAGCTGTCAGAGGGATGGGAAGATACCTAGGACTTGGTAGGGTCCTAGAAGCTCAGTTTCCAGAAGAAGCGGTGATCAGTCTTACTACATGTTACAAGAAAGGTCAGATAAAGGGTGAACATCTACTGGATCTGGCAATTGGGCCTGTATGTTGTAGCCCTGGCAGAGGTTACAAGGGCCACAGAAGATTGAGTTGCTACCCTAGGTATACTCTTCATAACCTCATAAGCTGTATGTATACACACCAAAGAGCTCTTCCACATCCGGTGGGGAGACCTGCATTGCATTCTTCCCAGTTTGCTTAGCTACCTGCACATTCTGTTCTATTCCCCTCCCCAGGATGTGACTGGTTAAAGTTTAGGAGTGGGGGGTGGGGGCGGATAGTGCTATAGAATAAAAGGAAGCTAACTGGCTTTATATATGGGTTGGATCCATACAACCTTGACCTCAGTAAAACTAATTGAAAGGGTCACAAAGGTATGTGATACATTTTTATATGTCAAAGAACACAGCTTTTTCAAGGTGAAAGGTTCCATCTTACCTAAAACAGTGAGGGAAACCCCTCGATAAAGGGCCAGGAACCCTTCCTGTTGATAAATAGTAGAAAAAGCATGGAGAAGCCCCCTATAAGATGGTTCCAGCATGTTCTGTACAATCAACCGGGTTTTGATGAGGTCTGTAGGATATGTCACAATGGTGGAAACCATGCCTGAGAGACTCCCAGCCATGATGGAGCTCCATTGGGAAATATGGCCCAGGTCATCCATGAACAGCACAACAAACCTGGGGGAAAATAAGGGAAAAGTCCAAAGGAATCAGCTATGGATTATGCAAGTGTGCTTTGTAATACTACTTGTAATGTTTTCCAGCATTTGGAAGTGTTTTACAAAGTAAAAAGCTACTGTAGTACTACAGGTTCCCAGAGTCACCATACATAGAAAATTGCTTAACCACAGACATCTTGAAATATGTTCACTGTGAGTGGGAGAGAAGACTTTGTGTATTCGTGTGTGTGTGTGTGTGCGCGTATGTGTGTGTAGAAAGAGGTAGCCAATACATAGACAATATTTTGAAAATATTTTTTAAAATTTTGTGATATTTTGTAAATAAAGGTATAAAATATTTAGCTACAATTCCTTATTTTCCCTATGTATGGTGACTTTTGGGACACCTTGTATATACATATTAGCATTAACAAATAATGCATTTGCATCCTACTATATTTATGTAATGCTAGCTAGCTATTAGGAAGAGATGCCCAACCTTCTTATTTATATCTACATTAAGTCCTTCCCACTTTACATCAAGCACTTTCCCCTTTTATCTGCATAAATGTCAACCCTGGCTTGCCTGGGGGGACATAAAAGCACAGAAGTACTTGGTAAAAACCAATGAGAGGGCAGTGCCTGTGGCTCAGTGGGTAGGGCGCTGGCCCCATATACTGAGGATGGCAGGTTCAAACCTGGCCCTGGTCAAACTGCAACAAAAAATAGCCAGGCGTTGTGGCAGGCACCTGTAGTCCCAGCTACTTGGGAGGC